GAATTGGATGCTTTCTTGCTTGTGGCCTAAATCCTGCCTGTTTATACACACAACTATTAACTAGGCAGTAACTATTTGGATGAGTAGGATTTGGGGTTATTTCTGCTAAGACACATGCCCAGAAACCCACATTTACCCTATTTTCTTGCATACAAAATGCCTCCAAATACAATACATACCTTGTTCTTTGGAAGGCAGAATGGGGGTGGGTGGGGAGGGAGTGGAGAGGAGAGAGATTCCCTCCTAGAGTGAGATGGCTGTCCTGTCTTACCCCCCCACTGCAGTCATAGCTGATTTGTGCAACTTGAGTAAGTCCTCTTGGATGCATAGAGTAATACATAGGAAGGGTGGTCCCAGGAAGTTCAGACTATCTTCTGGTATGCCATGCTTCCTGGACACTGTCGCGTGAGGTTAGACCTCAGATCCTTGCAAGGATAGTAATAAGTCTGTTAGTTCTTTATAAAAGTTCCTGTAAATAAAGCATTGCTTCCATGTCCCAAGCTCATCAGGATACTACTGACAACTCATTTGCTGCTTCAGGCACAAGGTACTGTGCTCAGCTAATAGCTATGGTTGTGAGGAGTTTAATGCAGGACTACACCATCTTGGAAGCTGCATGACATGCATGGTGTCTCCAGGCTTGTCTCTTTCTGTGAAGACTCTTTTCCTGCTCAAAGCATGCATCCCAATTTTGGGGTTTGATTTTTAGAGGAAAATGGTATTTTGTGAGATATTATAATACACCATTGTAGTATTCACTAAAGCATCCATGTATTTCTAGATTTTTTTTTTTTACCAATACTTGCAGAGTTCATTTTAATACACTATCAAAATGTTATCACACCTGGTATGGGACTAGACAGCTCACAAACTTTTGCTGCTGGAAAATCAAAGATTTTCTTTGAAAATGTCCTATACTATACAATACACTTTTGTTTCAGGATTCCAAACATCTGAATTACTTGACATCAGAGCAAGCTTTGGCAGACTTTGCAATACTAATTCAGCACATCAGGAAGACAATCCCAGGAGCCCAAAACACTCCTGTGATTGCCATAGGGGGGTCATATGGAGGGATGCTTGCAGCCTGGCTTAGAATGAAATATCCTCATGTAGTAGATGGGTGAGTATTCTTATCCTGCTCAAACCTAGAACAATATTGGCTTATAAAAATGTCATCTGACTAAGACATTAATGGATCAGTTAAGAAGACAGATTCTTTCCACACAGAACTTGTGTAACTCGTAAGCCAGGGGCAGGCAGTTATTTTGAGTGGAGGGCCGCTTAGCCAGTTTTGGCAGGCTGTGGGGGGCCCTTCCCCCTGGTCACCATCTTGGGACCAATGTCCCAGGGCCAGCACCAGTGAGGTGCAGGCTGGCAGGGGTCGCTGGGCTGGGCTGCACCAGCAGGTTGGGGGGAGCTGGCCCAGCTCCATAGAGCCCCTGCTGGCTGGGACCCCACACTCCTGCCACCCTGCTCTGGGCTCCACCGACACTGGCCCCAGGGCACTGGTGCTGGCCCCGTGCTCCCACTGGCTCCCTACCTGCTCATGCCCAGTGCCCCCCAGCCCTGCGGTAGAGGTGGCGGGGCAGCACACAGCCCCGACCAGCTTCTTCCCTGCTGGCAAGCAGGGGATGCTGAGTGTAGGGGAAAAGTGGCTCCTCGCCTGCCCCATGGCCAGCGCCCCGCATTGCAGGAGCTTACAGCTTGTGCGAGGCTGTCCAGAGCAGGCACAGGCAGCCCCAGGTAGGCTGCGAGCGGCTGCAGCGCAGGGCACAGGGCAGGTGAGGGCTGCTCATCCCCGTGCTCAGCACCAGCTTGTAACCCACTCCTGCTGCCAGCCTGGCAGTGGGACTGGCTTTTACAACGGGGGCGAGTGGGGGGGGGGCGGGCAGCCGCTGTTGCGTTCGTGAACCAGCCTTGTGCAGATTGCGAGTGGCTGCGGCGCAGGGCTCTGGCTATGGGGCGGGCAAGGGGCTGCTTCTCTCTGCGCAGGGAAAGGAGCCCATGGAAAAGCTGAGAGCAGGGGAGGGAAGCGAACCCCACCCCATGCCCAGTGCCCTGTGCTGCAGGTGCTCGCAGCCTGCATGAGGCTGTCTGGAGTGGGTACAGGCAGCCCCACGTGGGCTACAAACAGCTTCAACACATGGCACCGGGTGTGGGCAGGGAGGGGTGCTCCCTCCACCCCTTCTGCACTACTTCCTTGCCCAGGGTTCTCCCTTCCCCCCCCCCCCCCCCCCCCTCCCCTGGGTCCTATTGCCCTTTGTTCCTGTCATTTTTAACAGGAACCAAGGGCAGAAAAATATTAATTTTTCTGAATTTTTTTTTTAAGGGCTCTGCAGGCCAGATAAAATAGCCTTGCAGGCTGGATTTGGCCTGCGGGCCATATTTTGCCCACCCCTGGTCTTAGCATTATGGAGTCATTGAGAGAAGCCCCATAATTTTAAAGCTGAATTAAATTTGTCTTGCAGTAAACTTGAATAACTTCTCCAAATTTCAAAACAGGGTATAATCAAATACTGAATTTTGAAGAATTTCAGGTAGCTCTGGCTTGAGATGCAGTTAGTTTAAAACATGGCCCTTAAGCTTGGCTTTTTGAGTCTTGTTTGTTTGTGTTGTTTTTTTGTTTGAGCGATATCTTTTATTGGATCAACTGTGTAGTTGGGAGCATGAATGATGTGCCCCTCCTGAGGCTGGGGGAGCACAGTGATGACCCGCAGGTGGTGGGAGCGTGGCGGTGGTAAGCGATGGGTGGTGAGTGGGGACCACCTGCAGCCGCTGGTGGCTGCATTGGTAGGGGGGGGGCAACTGCCTACAGAAGCCAGTGGCCGCTTTGGCAGCCAATCTCCCCATGCCCTCCCCATGTGTTGCCTGTGGCTGGGAGAGATCTTACATAAACTTTTGGGCACAAGATACCCTTCTTCACATTCCATTCCAGTTTCCAGAAAGTAGAAAACTAACAGTTTAGTGTGCAGGGAAATGTTGGATCTGTCTTTCCCCCTAGGATGATTCTGAAATTTTATTAATAGGCAAAAAAAGGTGTTTTTAATGTAATAGATAATTTGCTCACTGGATTTCTTGGCAAATAACAGATTGGTTTACTCTAGTGGCTTGTGTTCCCTATTCAGGCCAGGTTTTTCCTTGGGTTAGATAAGGGAAAACTATAAAAGTTGGAACTGTCCCACTCAGCTGACTTATTTCCTGAAAATGAGATGGGTAGAGGGGCAAAGGGGTGCTTTGGGTTGAAGACTCTACCTCTCTTATAATGGAAACAGAATGAGTCCCTGGGGACTACCTATGGTGAGAGAAGAAGGGTTTATGTAAGATTTTTTTCCTATGGTGGGATAGGAAGGGTCTCCATAAGATAATAGAGAGCAGAAGCTTTCTTTTTGGTGCTGAGAAATGAGGAACTCTTGTCTTTCCTCATCAAATGGCTGAACCTGAGCCAGTCAGTCTCCTTTGCCCTCTTGCAGATAGGCAGTTAGGAGAGCAGTGCAGCTGTTTGGCGCTTACCCTGCTTGCACTAGTAAAGTCCATGTAACCAGCTGTCGGAAGGGATGAGTAATGAACTGGTTTTCTTATTCTATGGCCCACTTCAGAGTTTGCAGTTATGGAGTAGGAAGGTTTTTTAGTGATTTTTCTCTGTATCGCACATAGTCATCTGGGGCTTTCATGTTCTAGGCCAGTGGTGCTCAACCTGTTTGCCCCACAGGCCAGACAAGTGACATGTGGCTGGTCTGAGGGTTGGTCTGTGCACCAGAGTCAGGCCCTAGGGCAAGGGTTGGCAATGTTTGTGCCTATCGTTCATACAGCCTGTGAAAACTTTTTTGAAGTGTTGCTGTTCTGAGTTCAGTTGGCAGTGATGGCATTTTGTTGGGGTAGTGATTTTTACTGATTGTGAAAATGTACATGGGCACCTGAATAAACCCATGAGCACCATGTTGGGAACAGCTGCCCAGGGGGCTTGGCATTGCTGCCTCCTGCCCCCGTGCACTGGGATTAGGCTTTAGGGCCCTGGCACCACCCCCACCCTGCTCTGTCGGCTGGGATTGGGCACCTGATCCAGTTTGCAGGGCCCAGGGTTCCCCAGGGCTTGGGAAATTTGGTACTATGGGAACAGTAGCACAGGTCCTACCCCCACTCCACCAAATTTCTGGACCCGTGCAGAGCCCCATGGGCTGGATCTAGACCATGTGCTGAAGGCTGAGCATCCCTGGTCTAGGCACCCAGTACTTCTTGCTTTGATATCAAGCCTACCATAGGACTTCCCTCTGTCTCCCACCACAGGGTTTCTCTTAAGGGTATAGCACTGGTCTGAGACTTGGGAGTTTGGTGTTCAGTCCTCAGGTGTGCAGTGGGCTTCTTGTATGCATGATAGACAAGTCATTTTAATTCCTCAATGCCAAGATTCTCCATCTGCAATACAGAGGTGATCATTCCTCCCCTTTTTTCTTCTCTGTCTTTAGATATAGGGGTTTACAGCTCAAAGCTTTCTCTTTACTCTGTGTTTGTACAATATGTAGCACAATGGAGCCCCAGTCTCTAGCTGTTACTGTACAAATACCAGTGAGTGTGCATGAAGAACTTGCATGTCTTAATTGGGATCTAACACTAATTTGTCTTGTACTTGCATGGATTTGCAAAAAGCTTACTTAAGTCCAAGTTTGTCAAGAGTGAATGTTGTACCTGAATTATAGATTATAGGTATAGTTTCTTTTTTGGGGGAGAGGGGTGATAAACACTTAAGACGTACCTTTTTAATTGTCCAGTAGCTGTGAGGAGGTTCTGACACACAGACAAGTTCATTTTGAAGAGGTGCCAAAGGTATATTTCACCAAATAAATATGACTTATTGTCTCTGTTTACAGAGCTCTTGCAGCCTCAGCCCCAATATGGCAGTTTCAGGATTTGGTTCCCTGCAGTGTTTTCAACAGGATAGTGACTAACGACTTCAAGAAGAGTGGGAAAGGCTGTTCAGAAAGCATCCGAAATTCTTGGGAGGCTATTAAACGTGTCTCCTCTACAGGTAAGCAGTTACCAATGCCACCTCAGCATTTGTGCTCTTCCAAGAATTATGCATCTCAGGCAGTTTACACTGTGACTCTTTGGGTAATTTCACAGCATTTGTAAGTCTGTAGACCGTGATAGCCTCATGTGCATCAGAGTGGTTTTTCAGACTTTAACTTTCCTGGCTGTGGATTTTTGCATGTTTTTCAATCAAAATTAAACTTTTCTAAAGAGAATTTGTGGTGATTAATTTATTTTTAATGTGTAGACAGAAATAGACAAGACATTATCATATTACACGAACTCAGTCTCTGAAATGGAAGGCACTTTAGATTTTTTTTTCTTTTTTTAAACTTTAAGACACAGAAACAAGTTTCCATACTACCTGAGCATGGGTTTCTCTACCTTACTCACCAGGGGCCACAGCTTTTTGGCTAAGCAAAGTCACTAATGTACTCGCTAGTTTCGTTCTAGAAATTGTTCTCTGTCTGAAAGGAATGGGTCAAAAAAAGAGAATATCCACCAAGCTTCTGAAGTGTCTTCATCAACCCTTCAAAAAGTGACACCAATTAGTTCTGTTCCTATGGCAAAAATGTTTAATTTGATCACAGTTGTATAGCTTCTACACTCTGGTTCAAAATCCAGATCCAAGTTTCTCTGAACACTTGGGAAGATTACAATTTGAAACTAGATCGAAACTAGAACAGCAGGTTTGGGTTCCCTCTTTCCCCAATTCCAGCTTGGTGTAACACAGGAGGAAAGGCAACTTTTTTTTTTAATTTGTGAAAAGTGGTGATGGAAAAGCAGAGGTTAAAGAGTCTGTTTTCTTTTTAAACAAACTTGGATACTGTATTTTCTCTCGTACAACACACCCCTTGTATAATGTACCCCTGTTCTTGAAAAGGCAGCATGAAGATCTTACTTGGGTAAGTAATTGAGTAGCAGCAGTCGCTAGTGAGCTGCGCCTGCTGTCAGCCATGTGAACAGGATGCGATCTGAAGACTGCTGGCACGCCAGGCGTAGAGCTGTGTGCTGGGTCCAAAGCTGTGCTCCAGGTCTGGCGCTGTAGCTTGATCTGGCACACTGGGTTTGGGATTGCATTCTGGGTCTTGCCATTGACCGACCTATTTTGCTGGCCTGATCTGATGTGTAGGGCCATGTCATCCAGCTCAGGGACTACCCACAGATTCAGAAATTTGCTGGCAGAAAAATTAATACACGCTGTCACTGCTCCCCTGCTGCCAAATTGTTATGTGAGGAAAATATGGATCCCCAGAAACTTCCACCAGCTGGCTTTAGGTGGAAAAGATATGTAATATGTGAGAGAATACACTATAAGTGGAGGAAAATAGAGAGCACTTCTTAACTGGGCATTGTAACCATAGCCAACATGTGTGGGGGGGGGCACAAGGGGGCTGATTTTTGTGCTGCCAGTGGCTGCAGGTCATCCCTGCCTGCTGCTGTCCCACCACCACTGCCTGCAGGTGGTTGCCATGCCCCCCAAGCTGTGGGAGGCATGCATTGTTCATGATTGTAACCACATATACCTTTACTCTAGGGCAAGGAGTTCAGATAGGGACACAGCCTGATTTTTGCATTGTTACTTCCTTACTGGTCCTATTCAGAATCCTCTGGGAGCAATACTATAATGTAGCTTACAAGTACAGGAAACTGAATCTGCAGCATTGTTAGGCAGGTGAAATGAGGGAAGGAAGGGCAAGCAGAGTTGTTTTATCTACTGAGAGCTGTACACCCTCAACTAATAAGTTTGACATTTTCTTTTAAAAGGACTGTTGATTTGTATTCTGCTCAATCTCTTAATGTTTTAGATGCCAGCATTTGAAGACAGATTGACATTACCTTAATGTTTTTCAGTAGTGATTCACTCAAATGGATTGTGGATTCAATTTTATGTTGGTATACATACACTATAGCACAGTGGATTCATTATGCTAAGGGAAATGTTTATATGGGGCTGCTAGAGATCAACTGTTTTAACAGCAACATATTGGACTTCTGAGGTTCTCTCCATAATCTTAATGATTCACCAACTGACTTTAAGTACATTAAATACTAAAATCTTCTTCGTGCTTTCTCACTTAGGTGAAGGCTTGCAGTGGCTTTCCAGTGCATTTCACTTATGTAGCCCATTGAAATCCTCACAAGATGCTGCTGCATTGAAAGCTTGGCTGAGTGAGACGTGGGTAAATTTGGCAATGGTAAACTATCCATATAAAGCTGACTTCTTGCAGCCTCTGCCTGCTTGGCCTATTCAGGTAATGGAGCACATACAGCTTCTATAGTTAACGTGGTTCACCTTGCAAAGCGCTAATTTATTAAAGTTTAGTTCAGAAGTGAACAAAAACAAATCGGCCCAAGTGCATTTAAAAAAACAACAAAAAAAAAAAAAAAACCCGAAAAAAGGAGGAGCCGGTCCTGCCAGAGGTCAAGTATTTCAAACTTGAACTTCAGTAAATATAAGGGAATTTAAACAAGGCTAATTGTCACCAACTCTCCACCTCTGTCACCTTTCTAGTGTTAGCCCTTATTGCTAATCTCATTGTTTGTGATTTTTGTCTTCTAGATCCCATTTGGGATTCCAGAGTGCTTCATTGCATTCTTTTTGAACGTGTACTTTGTCCTCCTTTCAACTTTCCACATGCTTTCCTTGTAGCCTTCCATTTATGTAGTGCCACTTACTACACTCCCCCTGAGTAAATTCCCTCTTAAGGGTGCAGGCACAGTGTGATTTACTGCAGATCTTGATTCTGTAGTAAGGAGTAGATCTACAACCAGCTCTCCCAAGGTAGCTTTGTCTGCAGTAAGCACTGTTTGAGCATCTGGCCACAAGGTGGCAGGGAAGCCAGTTTGAATTGAGCAAGTAGAGGAAATGTCTACAGGAAGGGAGGCACAATTGGTATACCAGCCTGCAGTTATTCCTTACTTTCTCAGGGGTAACTTAACCCTGCAGCAAAATGATTTGCAGTGCTGAAAGGCAGTACGTCTTGTGTCCACTCCACTTCTACCATGAAATAAAATCTGCTTGCTTTGTGCACACAGCAGACTTACAATATCCTGAATATTGCCTTGCTTTTCCCTTGTTAGTCCATGACCACATTTCTGTGTTGGTTGAAACTGCTGGGTAATATGGATGATAAGTGAAATTGAGAGAAATCAGAACATGTATTGTCTTGTAATAAACCTAAGTGCCAAACAGAAAAATTGTTGCATCTGTCTTGGTTAGATTTGACTAAGAGAGGGAAGGAAATTCACCTGTCTTGTGTAGCTGTCCCATCTCTTTAAATGCCTTCTATGCTATTTTAGTTCTGTTGTCAGTCTAAACAGCTGGAGGAATGCACTTTACCTTCTGATCTCCTACCCTGGAATCTGCTTTTGCATCATTGTTAGAGGGAGCTCAAAGGTTTGAGCAAGATGCAGTGACTCAGTAAGATGTAAAATAGAAAATCCTTCTGTGTTTGTTCTGGCACTTCTAACGTATGACCTCTCAGGGTGGTTTAAGCTGTTTAGGTACTTTCTCTGAAATGGGAGCTCTAATGACAAAACTAATGTGATTATCTGAGTGAGGGTGAAAAGGATATTGAGAGCTTAGGGGAAGAAAATCTGTTAGAATAGCTGAATGTATCTGCTTAATCCGTTCTCTAATGTGGGAGGAAGGTGCCCTCTGGGGAGTGATTGCTCTCTCTGCCTCTACCCCTGTTTGATCTGCAGAGGTAAAGCTGTCTGCAGCTCTTTATTCCCTTATCTTTACCTTCAGCAGTCCACACTGGCACTAGGAGTGACCTTTGAGAGCCTGTAATTGTTCCGAATTGCTTACTGAACTAGCCGAGCGACAAAGCCCTCTTAAAGTGATGATAGAGTATTTGTTAACTTGTTCTTTGACCTGGTTTGCACAAGGAAGAAAGCGGGTGGGGGGGTGCTTGCGTGCAACTCTTTTCTTGTGTATAAGATGTATTCTCCCCCCCTCAGCCCAGAAGTCTAAAATTACACATCAAAATTATGTAATGAAAATAACTGAAATTGTTGGGTCACTTTTATTACAAAATTCAGTTAGATTTCTCTTAGCTTTAGCATTTTGTGTTTTGGGGCATGCATCTCTCTCATAAATGGGTGTCTTATACAGCAGAAAATATGGTAGCTAGCATGTAGTAACTAACATATTGTGGAAAACTTAGATATCTTCCACCCAAGTTAGCAGGCTGAGGCAAAGACTTCAGGGAGAACTGGGGGGTTGCTTTTACCCCTGCAAATTGCCTTGTTTTCACAAGCATCCTGCATTGTATTAGTTGCCACATTATCTAAAGCACCTTTTTGCTAGGGGCACTTACTGCTTGTTTTGCCCAACTCTGAGATGGCAAATCCTGATCAGCACTAGCAGCAGCTCTCCTTGACTTCAGTAAAAACTAGAGCTGCTTTCAGCATTTGGGGGGGGCAGGGGAGGGGGGGGAAACTGTAGTCTATTGGCCCCTCCCAAGCCCAGTGTAAATCCATAAAAGAACAAGGGGAAGGACACTCGGCGAGCATTCCCTCTTTCCCCATGATCCTTCTTGCAGGGAGGATAAGGACAGGGTTTGCCACTTCACCTCCCATTACAAGCTACAGAGCTTGTCCCCAAGCCACCTATATCCTAGGGGATCATCAAGAGTTGAGGCATTTGCTCATGCTCTTATGCTCTAGCTGTGTTAGCCCTGGGGCTCTCTTGGCTCTTTGACAGGAGTCATGCCACTCTTGCACAAAAGGAGCAAGGGCAGTGGGGACTCTGATGGATGTGCTCCACTTGTTCAAATCCAGTCCTCACTTGGTGCAGGGCTGCCCAATGGGTCCATCACCTTCTGCATATAGGCCCCAACCCTATTTAAGGTCCTCCAAGGTGAGGTCCATGTCAAGGAAACAACTGCTCACTTCTGTTTGTACAAAGGGATAGATACATTATGGGGATGGACCTAAATGTGATCAACCATATGTATGTAATTAACCATACTTGGGGCTTCTGGAATTCTTCAGCAGTATAATGCATTCTTCCATCTTCTAGTATGTCTTTCAGATTTGAATAAATAAAAGAGAAACCCCACACCCACTATGATGACAAATAGTATTAGTTTAAATGAGAGAAATCCTCAGTGTGGTGATTTTATTTTGTGTGTTTGTGCGCGCGTGACTTATTCCTAGTATGGTAACTCTTGGGATCTCCTCACTTTGGATCAGAGCCCATGTCCCTAGGTAATGACAAACTTGCACCTTCCCTTACTTGTTCCTAGTCTTGTTAGATTTGATCTTCAGTCTGTATCAAGAGTTTCATTACAGACCTTTTCCCCTTTCTCTTGTCATAGGTGGTTTGCAAGTTCCTGAAAGATCCCAGTCTGTCAGACAAACTATTGCTACAGAACATTTTCCAGGCAGTAAATATCTACTACAATTACTCAGGAGTTGCATCGTGCCTTAACATATCTCATACTGCAACAAAGAACCTTGGGGAAGTGGGCTGGTACTATCAGGTAAATACTTGATAAACCTTTTCAAAATGTTTGACCTTGGAGGTTTTTTTTTTGGTTTTTGTTTTTTAAACCAGAGCTGATGTGAATTCTCAGTTCTTGCTGTCAGACACTTTGAACTTTCTATTAATACAAGGGGCCAGATACCTGAAATTATATCAGCAAGTTATTTTTAATGTGGTGCAAGGTATGCCAGTATCCACCAGCTGAGGTTCTGACTCTAAATGAGTATGGCCTAAAACTAAATAAATATAGGTATTCTAGAGCAGTGGTTCTCAACCTTTTTTTTTTTCCCCTGTCAGGACCCATTTTTACACATTGGCCAGTCCCTACCCAGTGCCCCTCACTTCTGACCCACTACCCCCCAGCCCCTCAGTGTGTAGGGCAGGGGAAGCATGGGGGGCACAAGCAGCCCCTTGCAGGCTGGAACTCTGCCAGCCTGCAAAGGAAAAGCTGCAGGTTCCCACATTTTTCTTTCTCCTTTAAAGGAGAATCCATTTAAAACTTGTTCATGACCCTTTCATATATTCTTGCACCCCACCTTTGGGTCATGGCCCATGGGTTGAGAAATGCTGTAGAGAGCATGGGTTGTGACTAGTTTTAACTTGATGATTTGGCCTTCCCAACAAGAGTTTTAGATCAACTAAACTAGATCATGAGTTAAAAATATTATTTTTGTCTTTATTGGTGAAGCCTTAGCAGAAGAAAAGGGAGGATGGGGGTGAAATCTCTTTAAATGACACAAGAACAAGGTTAGGTAGTGGTTCAAAGAAACATGAGCTCCCATTGACAACCATCTACTTAATTAATCATCAGAGAGCATCTAATTCAAGTAGTAGTAAAAAATATCATAGCGCTACTTGCCTTGTGAAGTGCTCTGTGGTAGGTCTAAAGATGTTACCCATTTTTCCCAGCCTATAGGCAGGGAACTAGGCATATAAGAGGGAAGTGGTTTGCCCAAGGAAGAACCCTGATCCTTGGCATTTGTTATATGGTTTGGTTTCTGTTCTGTTTTTATTGGGACCAAATATTAAGTCATATAAAAAAATCCTAATTTTACTACATCAAAAACACTTTACTGTTTTCATATTGGATCCTAAGATCTAATATGAAAATGGTAAAGTGATTTTGGTGTAGTACAATAGCTGCTTCTAGTCTGCCTCAGGTCAGTGAAAAGATTTGCTCATGATCTATGTTTAAATACTCGGTAAATATCTATTTCATCATTGAAAGCATTAAAGGAATCTATGGAGCTTTCCTCTTTAAATATGCTGGTTGCAGCTTTAGAAACAGAATAAAGTGTCCCTGGCAGAGGTGATTACCTGTTCCTTGTTCCCATGCTTTTCCTTTTATAGGCTTGCACGGAGATGGTGATGCCCATGTGCACAGATGGTGTCAATGACATGTTTGAGCCTCAGAAGTGGGATTTCCAGGCATTCTCTGAAGAGTGTTTCAAACTGTGGGGCGTGAGGCCTCGTCCATCATGGATTACTTCAGTTTATGGAGGGAAGAACATCAGTTCTCACAGTAACATCATTTTCAGGTTAGTTTGCTTCATTTCCTGCAGTGGCCCCCTCCACCAAAATGGGTTACCAGCACAGAGAGAATCTTAGACTTGGAGCATCAAAAGCCATCCGCCTTTATCATTTGAGTTGAAGAAAGTTTTGGACTGCTGTTGCACCCAGTGGGTAGGCAGTGCCAGGAGTCTGCATGGTCAGAAGGACAAATGCTTCCCTTGGTGCTAATGCTGAGGTTGAGGCCGGCATGTGCATCTCTGAAACGAGAATTTGGTTCATGCATTTGCTGAAAACTACTTTGTTCCCATGAAGAATCGGTCTCATCTCTTGGCTGCAACTGTGTTCAGTGTCTCAGGTTTACTTGCTGATAAGGCTGTCCTGCATTCCAGCTAAAGCAGCATGTCAGTCCTTCCTAGGTAAACTGAAAACCACAGACTCCAACACATGGAGTCCATCACCCGCTTGTTGCCTCTGTTCTGAGCTGGAGCAACCTTTTCTCCTTCTAAATAAAGGGAAGCTTCTGGCAACTCTCTAGAAAGCTTTAGCCTTGGGCCCAGAAAGTAGGAACCAGATGCTAGTTTCCATCTCAAGCCTTCTGTTGCCTTGCCTGAGGCTCAGTCCTGTAGTGGCGGTCCTGTGCTGTGCCTCTGGCCTTGCCTTTAGGGCTGTATGTATGAATGAGTGAGGGTTTGATTATACTGCCGAATCAAAATAATGAAGAGAGAATTTTGGTTTGAAATCAACCTATACTGTTTCGTGGTTTTTTTTTTTTTTTTTTTTTTGTTTTGTTTTGTTTTTGTTTTTTTTAATTTTCTTTTCTTGCCAAAACAAAATGCTGACAATTTCATTACACATAGTGAAGTGTGTAACTTGATAAGATGTTCTGTTTTAGGTGCTTGTGTAGCTCTTCATTTCCGTGGCTTCTGAGTCCAGTGGAGCTGGAGAAAGTGGGGGTAGTACCTGGAAGCTGGGAGGCTAGAAGGCTCACCACAGAAATGGAAGAACTGGGTTAAATTCTCTCCTCTGCTGAAGGGGATTGCAACCATCTACATCTCCCACCTCTGAGGAGATAGCATTAACCACCAGACTAGAGGCCATTCTGGAGTAGGGGGCTCTCAATGGGCATTTATACACATACATTTTTGTGCTCCAGTGAGCTGACATGCACTATGCAGTGTTATGTGCAGTCATATAAGCAGCAAAATGCATGTTGGCACGCAGAAAATGGCAGCAATGCACTTTTGAACTGAAATGCCTTTGTTTTTAGTTCAAAATCTCCTACCAATAAACTTGTCCCACTTTGTAAATACAGCCATTCACAGGAGTGGGTGTTGGAGCTCAGCTCTTCCCCTCCCCAGCTGAGTGTCTAAACCATCAGGCTAGAGTCCTTCCCTCTCCATGTATTATGATGTGGAACACCTCTAACACGAGGGACTGAGGATGACCCCTTAAAACACTTCAGAGCCTGCCTGTTAAAATACTCAGCTTGTGCTATTCTAGGGATGGCACTCCTGCATGCTGTCAAAGTCTACACATCCTTGTTCTCCCTAGGGTTCGATGTCCTTTTGTCTATTAGATCTTTCTGGACCCTTTTTAACAGGCATGCTCAAGACTCGCCTCTTTTGCCATCTGAGAGACCCGAAGGCTAATCCCTTTTAAATCATCTTCTACTCTCTCCCTTTCCAAATGGTCAATTTCCAGTGCAGATTCCCCATGTCTTGTGTGCTCATGCTGGAATGAAATCTTCCCATATACACCCAGCCTATGATTCCCATTGATTATTTTAAGGAAAAACAGCATAATGCCTCTGCTCTGCTCTGGGTAGAAACGAGGATGTGGAAAAAATGAATTTACCCGAGTAAGAGTTAGCATAGTCATGGGGCTCTGTTCTTCATTGAGTAGCTAGCAAATAGCTTTGACAGACTTCTCTGGTCAGGATGGAAATGAAATGATACAGTGGAGAAGTAAAAGATTATAAACATCCAAATACTTTTGGAAATTATTCTTACTAAAATAAGGAAAGCAACACCTTACTTCTATAATGCTTGAGACTTAAAATAGTATTGGCCTTCTGGGCTCCCAAATGGTAGTTATTCCATATGTAGCAATCTGGATCTCATTCCCTTTTCCATTCCTTTTTTTTTTCTTTTTAACTTAAAATATTTTTGTTGTAACTGTATGAACGGCTCTCCTGAGGAAGCTGTAAATCTAATACTACAAAATAGTAGCTCTGTGTCATTCCAAAATACCCCCATGAATATTAATTGCAACAAAACGGCTCCAGAAAATAAATATTTTGTCACTGTGTACTTGCTGGTTTTTGTTCAACATCCTCCTTCTTTGTTTCTAACACTGATAAATGGAAGCTACTTTAAAATGATCCACTTTTGCTGTACTTGTAGCTGAGTGATGATATGAATTCTGAACGGATAGAAATGGACTGGTCCACGAGATTTAGTAAATGCCACCTTGCCATCTAGCAAACACATTTCCCACACATTTAGAGCTTATGGTCTTAGATGTTCCAAATCTTTGTACTGATTTCTTACAGTTGGCAGTTCAGAGCAATACCCCTCTGTACTATCATTCAAGTTGTGCAAGTTCTTTTCTAAAAGGAACTTCTTTACACAAGTCAGAATTAGTCTTTGGGGCTTGCTTTAAAATACACAGCTATTTACTGAGAAGTCCTGGCTTGAATTGGGGATTTATTTTCTGGAGTTCAGCCTGTAACATTGGTTTGCTTGGCTCCAAAAACCTATTGCTTTTCTCTCTTGTTTGTGTCTTGCTGTTTCTGGCCCAGCAGGGCATCTGCTCCAAAGTGAGAAAATCTGTACTTTGATAGTAAACTTTTTTTAAATAAGCAAATTAAATGGATTTGTTTTTTCGTTTCTGCAGATTGTTGCTTGTTCTCATTTTAAGAGTCCATAAACCTATGCACTATGATTCTGCTTCATAAATTGACAGATGAGCAAACAAACCTGTCAAATCTTTAAGAATTTTTGCCAGTTTAGAGAGCTTGAAACCAGAAATCCTTGAAAGTAACCAAATGAACGAAGAAAAGAAATAAGTGCTTTGCACACGATATTTTGGATCTCAAGCTAGGTTATTTCCCTTCAAACAGACACAATACATTTTAGATGGATACTTTTATCCTGAAGGACCGCAAAGTGCTTCACAGAAAATCTCTATTCCCACCCTGGAGATCTAGCCCCCTGTGGTGTAGCATATATTAGCTGCTTAAGTGCCAGGCAACTTGTGCATCAGTTCAAGATGTGAAGGGAAGAATACTGTATCTTAATGGAACTACTGTAGGGTTGATATTTTGCAGGCAAGAATGTAGCGCAACAGATTTGGTCAGGATACTGGAATTGATGTCCCCAGTGGGGCAAAATGGACCTGCAGGTTTATAATAAAAACAATCGTACTGACTTTTCTCATCTACAAGTGCTGCTGGCATCAGTGTTGGGTATATAGGTTACTGCTGTATTGGTCTCATTAAAGCTTGCAATTTAAAGAGATTTTTTGCAGAAACCTTCTTGGTCTAATAAGATACCATGCCTCTACCAAGAGCACTAGTTTGCATCAGTGTCTCTTACCATCACAAAGGAAAACTAGTACTGATTTAGGAATTCTTTTTTTTTTTTTTTAAAGTAGGGTTGGAAGGAACTTTTAAAGTCTAATCCAGCTGCTGCTCAAGGCAGGATCATCTCTAAACTATCCCAACCAAGCATCTGTCCAACCTGCTCTTGAAAACTTCTAGGGGTGGAGATTCCACAGCTTCTCTAGGTAACTTGTTCCAATGCTTGACCAGCCTGAGGCCCTCTCTACATGTTACAGGTATTGCACAATTCACTGGTTAATTGTGCAGTTAGCTGAAACCGGCTGCACATGTGAAGTACCAGTCATTCCATAAAAAGCTCTAATGAGCTATAATGTTAGACCTCAAAAAGGTGTACTAACTTTATAGCTGGCTAGTATCCAGCTTTAACTTGCATGTGTAGCAGGGTCTCCCCTGCAGCTAGGAGCCCTGTCAGCTAACCCAGCTCCCAGCTGCAGGAGTGCCCCATACCTAGCTGGGGCTGGAAGCCCTGCAACTGGGGGGACTCGGTCCCAGCAGTGCCCCATGGCTGCTGGGACCCAAGAGTCCTGCAGCTGTGGACACTGGGTCCTAGCAGCTGTAGGGTGCAGCTGCAGCTTCCCAGCCCTGGGTGTGCATGGAGTCCCCATGGCTTGGAGTGCCCTCACTGTGAGGGGGCTCTTGGCTGCAGGAGCTCACTGCTTGCTGGTGTAGGGGGAGCCCAGGATTGGCCCTGGCAATAAAGTGCAATCGGATCTAATGCCCAATCCCACAACCATGCCTCCTGCCGTGCAAGTGTGGCATGGCTTGAAGTGTGACTGTTGTAACTTTGTGCATTAGATCCCATTGGCAGACAAAATTTATCTAGGTAAATCTGATATCTTTTATTAGACTAACTAAAATAGTTGGAAAAATTCTTCTTTGCAAGCTTTTGGGTACAAACACCCTTCAGTCTGAGGAAGTCTGCAGTTGTTTTGTGCTCTTCCTGGACAGAAAAGAATTGGATCCCATTGCGCTTCTACCTGCACATGTATAGGGCCCTTCAATCAGAAAACGCCGCCTTCTCTCCAGCCTACACTTTCTCTGCTACATCTTGAGGCCATTGTTGCTAGTCCTGTCTCCTCTAGCCATAGAAAACAATCCATCTCTGTCTTCTCTTTATTTGCCCTTTGTTTGAAGGGAGGATGGGGATGGGAGCTTTTCTCAGTGGGATGTTTCTTGGGGTAAAGATCCTTTATGAACTGTTTTGTAGTGGACCAGGATAAAAACCTTGATGGCTCTGGAAAATAGTACCTTTTTAAACTGAAAACTTGAATCTCCAAAACCTCAGCAGGACCCTCCTGCTGATTTGCATCTCTTTTTGGAACAGAGTGGCTGGCACTTGAATATTGCTTCCCTTGGATAAAAAGTATTTGCCTGTTCTTCACTTAATGACTTTGGTTCTTTCTTTTTATGATAGTATAACCTCATAAATCTGGCATTCTTGGGACCTAGCACCTGCCAGAAATTTGAAAATTCTGGATTTTTGAGACCCCGTGCGACTGGTGCTCTGGAACCAGCCACCGCTGCTGCTACCCCTGTCCAAACGCAGTGGGGGAAGCCTGCACGTGGTGGCTATCGCTGCCATCCACTACTCTGCACCGTTGTTCTGTGTGCAGTTGCTGCTCCAGCACTGGCTGCCGCTACTTCCCAGTGCAGTGCGTCTTTAAAAGTGCTGGATTTTTGAGAATTTCAGAATTTTGACAACTGGATTTATAAGGTTTATACTATATTATTACTGTTGAATTCTTTACTTTCAACCAACTTTAAACCTCAGTGCTGCAAGGTGGTCTGCAAGCCATTTCAGCATGTGTTGAAAAGCTCATTGGCACTGAAGTAAATAAGCCTACCCACATGCTTAAAGTTTAAGCATGTGCTTAAGTAAATTACTGGGTAAGCGTACTTGGCATCTTCCAGGCTAAGGCCCCTAATGAGCATCACTTCTCAGACTACGTCAATGCTGTCCGTGCCATCAGTGCATAGGTTGGCCGGAACCTTAGATGAAGCAGCCAGAAGTTCCTGTGAAAGCCAGAAATGGTGTTGTTTCCCTGCAGCATGCTTAATTTCCATGTGACTGGGACCAAGAGATCCAAGTCAGTCTACCTCATGGGTCTCTCGGCAACTCAACACACTGTTGCTAGGGCACTGTGCTGATTCAGACGACCTTTTAAATCAAATGCATTTTGCTTATTGTGCCGCTCTTTGTATGTTTTTTTGGTTTTGTGAATACAACTTTTTTTTTTTTTTATCCTGAGCCATACTAAGTTTCATTGAAATCCAAGAATTCTGGGGAGAAATGCAGGGTTTTCTGTGTGGATTTTGTTTTTCCTACTGAAGGGACACTAACACTGTTTAATTAAATCTTGGTCTGTTTTGTTTGTAGTTCTTAAGTGCTAGAAGCTGAAGGTAGAAACAAACATTTCTATTAAGTGGTGGTAACATTTCTTTTTAGCTGTGCAGCTATTGATAGTATAGAGACTTGTTCTGTTTTCCAGGAATAGTGTCTGCAATATTCAATTTCAACTTGCAGAATAAGTATAATAAAAGGACTTGCTTAAGTCATTCATTTTCTTGTGAGCAGTTGCATTGTTTTAATTGAAGACAGGGCATCACCTTTTAAAGACTAATTCAAAAAGGCATAAGCTTTCACTTTGTCAGATGCTATGAAATTGAATTGCAGAGGGCAGGGAGTTGAATAGAAAAGAACAAAGTAATTTAAATAGAAAGGGATAGGCCAAGGTGAGGAGGAAAGGGGGTGGGTTAAGCAAAGCTGCTTAACACATGGAGGGACATAATGGGTGTCTGCACACGTGCGGGGGAGGGATTTTCCCTGAGAGCCACTCTAATTAAAATGCCTGTAGCATCTTGTATATTCAGCATCCTGCATTTCAAAATGGTGGTGGGGGCACTTTAACTAAAGCTTACTTGACAAGATCAGCAGACTATTACACAAGTCTAATCGGAATGTGTTGGAGCACATGCAAAAGTGCCCAAGGTTTTATAAACCAATGAGATGTTGGTTTCTTTGCATTCAAAGAATTCAGTCTCTGAGATTCTACTTAATACAGTCTGTGGATGATTTCTTGTTTGTAATTGCACATTTTAAGTTGTTTTTTAAAGTTCTCACTGGTTAAGGATGGCTACTCTGAGATCAGCAATGAAATACTGACAAGTGCAAGGTACTGCACCTGGGGAAGAAGAACCAGCAGCAGACCTACAGGCTGGGCAACTCCCTTCTCATTGGCACAGAGGCAAAACAAGATCTTGGAGTCATTATTGATTCCAAGATGAACATGGGCTGCCAATGTGAGGACACAGTCAGTAAGGCTAACTGCACCTTGTCATGCATGATGAGCAGGTCCAAGGAGGTGATCCTCCCCATGTATCTGACACCGGTCAGGCCGCAGTTAGAGTACTGCATCCAGTTCTGGGCGCCACACTTCAGGAGGGATGTGGACAGCATCGAGAGGGTCCAGAGGAGGGCCACTCGCATGATCTGTGGACAGCAGGGCAGACCCTACGAGGAGAGGCTACAGGACCTGAACCTGTTCAGCCTCCACAAGAGAAGGCTGAGAGGGGATCTGGTGGCTGTCTATAAATTTACCAAGGGGGACCAGCAGAGAACAGGAGAGACCCTGTTCCCCTGAGCACTACCAGGAGTAACAAGGAATAATGGCCATAAGTTGACGGAGAGTAGGTTCAGGCTAGGCAGCAGGAGGTACTACTTGACAGTCGGGGTGGCTAGGATCCAGAACCAGCTTCCAAGGGAAGTGGTACTCACTCCTACCCTGGGGGTCTTCAAAAGGAGGCTAGATAATCGCCTAGTTGGGGTCGTTTGACCCCAGTGCTTTTTCCTGCCCAGGGCATGGGATCAGACTTGATGACCTGCTCACGTCCCTTCCAGCCCTACTAACTATGAAATGTCCAGGGAGGTTAAAGTGTTCTGCCCATTTGTGCCTGGAATTGATGTCAGATCCATTGTTTCTTTCATTTAGGGCCTGTCCCATCTGTCCAATGTAGACAAGAGGGACACTAAGCAGGTGATATACATGATATTAGTGGAAGAGCAGGTGAATGAACCCCAGATGTTAGTCACTGTTGTTTGGTTCAGTGATGTGATCTGTGTTGAGGGGGCACAGTGGGCATCTGGATCTGGCGCATGGCTTCCTGAGAATAGGAGTTAAGTGGTGTGTTTGGGGGCTACTTGTAAGCCAGGACAAGTTTGTCCCCTAAGGCTACCTTGATGTTTAAGAGGTTAGAGGTCACTAATGATGTGTTCAAGCTGGGGGCTGTAGACCACAACAAGAGGGATTCTGCTGCCCTTGTCATAGGGCTGCTATTGTAGCAGGTTGGAGCAGGGTCTGAATCTGACTTTGATTTGAGTGGCTATAGTCTTGGGATTGTATTGTAAATGCAGGAATCCCTGCTCCAGATTCCCAAGGTGTATATCCAGGTTGATGGACTCAGAGCAGATATAGTTGTAACCGACAGCTTGCTTTAAGCGGGAAAGAATGAGTGAGGATCACGTGCATTATCTAGTTAGTATTCACTACATTGCCACTTCCATCTGGAAGGATGGACATATGCTTACAGAGAGCATGAAGTGGCATGGACTCCTGAATGTGCTAAGGATCACAGGAGTTAGGCACTCCTTTGTTCAAATCCTGATTCTGCCAATGACTTGCTGTGTGAACCTGGGTAAATCACTTGGGACCTGTTCCAAAACCCATTAGGAAACTTCATATTGACTTAAAAAAACTTCATGTTGGGCTATCGGGGATTGATCTTTTAGCAGTGCTTATCTAAAGGGTTCTCAAACTAGGCACCTAAATCTTGTGAGCACGTGGAGATACTTAAGCATTTATCTCTATCCTGGTTCCCATCTGTCCAAAAGGAAGTTAACTCGCATTGTTTTAACAAAAGGTACTAAAAGAGGCAGGGTTTTTTAATTGTTCAGTACAGAAAGAATAAAATGGAGAAAGATTTATATCACTTAGCACAAATGCCACTCAAGTCATTCTATTCTGAACAGGCAGTATTTCTGTTGACAGCTTACCTATTTGGATGTGAATTTGTAAAAGAAAGCTGCTAAATTCCCCCAGTAATTTTTAATTAGGATGATCTTCAGGTTCTCTTGTAAGCCATTTTGGTTGCACTTTCAACTATTGAGTTGATTCAACTTAACAGCTATTTAATTTCTCTTCCAGCAATGGCAGACTGGATCCATGGTCTGGAGGTGGAGTGACTCAGAACATCACAAACTCTTTAGTTGCCATTGTGATTCCTGAAGGAGCTCATCACTTGGACCTGCGCAGCAGTAACCCTTGTGATCCCAAATCTGTGCGGCAAGCCCGGGCCTTGGAAGTTCACTATATGAAGCAATGGATTGAAAAGGCCAGACAAAGGCACTAAAGTGGCTACAGTAACTGCCATCATTACCTCCCATTGACTTTAGTGGGTGCAGGATCAGGCCTTCATTGCAGTTACATACAGTCTTTTCACCTGTGCTTCCTTTTTTCCTTTAATGCTTATATATACTCTTTCTCAGCACTGTGCCTGTCAGTGGGGGTAGGTAGGAGGTCAAAGTGTATGGGTTGAGCTGCCTGCTATAGCTTGCTTCCCTATTTTGCCACTATCAACTACTGTGGGTATCCTTTCTGCAACACCCCTGTTTTTGGCCTATTCCTGGAAGGCCTTATATCCTTACAAGATTAGCCTTCTTGTTGTTAATGAAATATGCATTATTAGACCAAGTCAATTCAGATCATTTGACTTCAAGTGGATTGAATATTAGGGACAGGTGCTCAGCTGGTATAAACTGTACAGGCTTAAATTTGGGGTGTGGAATGCAGTAATTTTGGAGAGGGAACAAAACTACGTTGGGATATTGGTTTGTGGGAGAGAGTTATTTTTAAGCCAAACTTTGGGACTCTGCCAGAAAATAGGTACACATTTTTTCATGTTTTTCAACAGTTTGTTAACCAAAGTTGTCATGTGTGACTTTTTTTGTTTTTCCTTTCTGATCACTACAAAGCTTTTTTTTTTTTTTTTTTTTTTTTTTTTTTTTTTTTTTTTTTTTTTTTTTTTCTGATTTAATTCTTTGAATGTCTGGCTGGGTATAACTTCTGTTTTGTTCTCCTTCCTTCCCTGCTGCTTCCCTTACCCCTATGATACCAGCCACTGTGGTAGTGTTAGAAAAATCCTGGGTATTTTCATCCCCTCTCTCTTGTTGCTGTCTTACAAATACTTAGTTTTTTCCAAGGCAGCACTGGGCAACTCCAGATTGTTCTCTTGAAGAGTGACAAATAATTGAGGTTGTGCCTTGTTTTCTTTTTCTTCTGTCTATTGATGAGATTCTGCATGGTCTGGTAACTGATGGTGCTTTAATAAAAGCCTTTAAAATTGTTTGTAGGACAAACTATTTGGAACACAGAATAGAGCTCTCCTGTTGGGAGAGTATTAGCCTGAAAGTGGGAGGCTGTGCTCAGCAGGCCAGGTGCACTCCAAGGCTTTTTATAGAGCTTCTAAAAGAGTCAACCAGCCCCTAGTCATGGAGACTGTATATTTGATATTAATAAATGATTGAGGCAAGTCCCTTCATTTTCCAGCTTCAGCTTCATTCGTACTGAAACCCTTCTTCCATAGGCTAATAAGGCTGGGCCATCCATTCCAGATAAGCTGAACACCATGCATAACCCAAGTCTCTTAACATCCCAGTTCCAGTTTCTCAGCTTTTTTTGCTGCTATGCCTCCTACAGTGTGCTTGTTTTCTTTTCTCCAGTTCTGTTTCTGTTCCCAGAAAGTGGCAGAAGATAGTGTGCCTCATTCTGAACCTTTTTTTTTTTTTTTTTTTTTTTTTTTTTTTTTTTACACTTCAGTAAATCTGGTTCCTCTTGTTGGTGGAACTCTTGGCTTATCCCTGTTTTGCTCCAGTGTTCTAGGAAAGGTTGCTTTGAACAAGGAGGCCTTTGTTCC